TATACAAATGCAAGGATTATTATTATTATTATGAGTTCTGGTGGGCGCGAGTTGAAAGGTAGATGCGTAGCAGGCCCATGTTACAGATTCGAAGTGATTCGAAGCACGACATATGCGTCTTAAAGGACATTTGTGGAGTCCAACAAGATATTCAGATTCTAAAGCAACTACACAATTCATGCTGGTCCATTCTGTCAGCTCCTGGCAGCAGAGATCTTAAGTCTAGCAGTCGCTGACTCAAGCGCTCACCAAGGACTTGCAGTCTTATAGGCAAACGGGTGGAACATCGATAGAAAAAATCGCATAATACTGCAGAAGCTGGAAATCTAAAAACAAAAACAGAAGTCTTTCTGAACACCCAGCAGTACAGATCTATGGAGAAATGGAAGTTCGTCAACCTTTAGGGTCCACGACCGTTCGTCATAAAATCAATGAGAGAAACCAAGAGAGGACAAGAATCGGAAACGACAACAACAACATTTATAGAGCTCCTTTCACGTCGGGAGGACGTCCCAAGGCGCTGGACAGTTGGGTCAGGACCCGAGCAGGGGGGAAATGGTAAGGGTGAGGGGAAGGAAGGGAGGGAGCGAGGAGGGGTTAGTGAGTTGAGAGGGGAGCTGAAGGCACGGTCAAAGAGAAAGGTCTTGAGACCGGCCTTGAAGGAGGAAAGGGATGAAGCAAGGCGAAGGCACTGGGGGGATAGAGTTCCAGAGCCTGGGGGCTAAGAGTCTGAAGACGCTGCCACCGACGGTAGGGCGGTTGGGGCAGGGGATGTGGAGCAGACCGGAGCCAGAGGGACGTAGGTTACGGGCAGGTTAGTAGGGGCATAGTAGGTCAGAGAGGTAGGAGGGAGCAAGGCCGTGAATGGCCTTGTAGGCGTTGATGAGGATCTTGAATTCGAAGGCGAGGATGAGGATCTTGAATTCGAGATGAGAGGACAATCGGCAGGCAAAAATGCTAAATTATGTATTTTATTTGGAGATATATATTTCAAATGAATGGCCAATTATGTTTTGGGGAGCAAGCGGTCCATGAGAACAGAGAGGCTTAGAACATCTGTGTCACACACGGGAACAATGTCATTGTTTGTGTTGACCAGGACAGTGTTATCAATCAGGGAGAGGGATTGCGCGGAAAAGAAAGTGCAAAGTGAGGAAGCGAAGAATGGTTCATTTGGATAGGAAAAGCAGATTGCTAAAAGGACCGTCATTTACGAGCATGTAGATGGGCCAAGACATGTAGATGCTCCTCAGGAGGTTGGGAGTTCCGTGTTTTTGAAGGAGTTCGGGAGTTGCACAAATCTGTTAATAGGAATGAAGGATTGTCGGCGATAATATTGGACGGTTAATTGGATGGAGGTTGTAGGGTTTGGCGATTCAATGCAGAGTGGATGATCTCTATCTTGGAGCCGAGGAAAATCGCCATCTACTAACATTTGGAATTGGCAGAAAGAATGACTGGGGCACAGGAAGGTTGGTGAAGGGGATGGGTGCTAATGTAAAAGAGAATCCTGGGGCTCTACTTTCCCTCAATGATGATCCTGCAGACGAAGTAACATTTGGCTTAGGTCAGGGCAGGAGCTGATCGAGTTTATTGTGGCAAACAGGGACTAGTTTTCGAGCTTGAGGATGGATTTAAGCCACGAATTTTCATTGAATCAAGCATGATACTTGAGGGAGTGGACGTGACCTACAAGAGTCAGCTACAACAGGAAGGCGGAAAGAAGAGATAATTTCGGTTGAGATGATTGTTCTTCACGGAGCCAGATACATGCTCAATGGGCTGAAAGGCCTTCTTACATGACATAAATTTCTGTTCTTCCCGAGCTGAAATATTTGAAAGTATATGTGAGGCTTAATGATGTTTAGTGTCTGTATTGGACAATAAAGTATCAAGGATTTTTAATGTCCACTTAAACAGTAAATCTGAAAAGTTACATTCGACCAAGACTGAATATATCTGCTGGAGGACGGCAAATAATTCAGGGCCGTCTTCCATCATCACTGTAATTGACCGCCTCTCAAGATTCAGAGTTGAATGTCTGGACTGAGGCTTAAACCCATATTTTCAAACTAAGAGGCGAGTGAGAGACCAATTGAACAGTTTCCTGAAATACTGAACCAGAGAAATCCATAGCGCGGGTGAAGGCCTATCATTACTTCAAGAGGAGGTATTACACTGTGAGAATGATTTGAAAATTTGGATCATAATGTAAGATAAATACAAAGCCAGATGCATTGGTAGTTTATGATGTTCTTCAATTTAAATGTGCACGCCTGTAGCTCAATAGTTCAAGCGCTTGCCTTGCAAGCAAGACGGCCTGGGTTCGATTACTGGCAAGGCGAAATGCACGGCAAGTTTACTTTCTCAAATCGCCTTTGTTTACAGAAGATCACGTACGACCGTATTTGGTAGTCGTTTGTGATTAATCTCGTCAAAATAATAATAATAATGTGGTCACGACATCCATGGCTGTTTGTGGGACTCTGTCGTATACAATTAGCTGCCACAACATATATACAGTCAACTCACTGTACAATGTATTTTGTGAAGCGCGTTGAGACGTCTTGCTGTCATGAAAGGCGAGGTCAATTATAATTAAAATAAAATGGTGAAATGGTTCAATTGGTTAAATTTTGGCCTCCATCTGACCTTTTTTTCCATGTTCACGTTGTCAAGAACACCAACGATTTCATGTGGTTATACGTAAATTGATGAAATAAATTAGCGCAAATGTATTCAGGTACCACATAAAACTGATGCTCAAACAATCCAAATGATATCCACGAATTAAAATGTATAACTCAATGGGCAACAACATTGTTACATAGCCACAATGCCTCTGACTCAGGACGACGTCTCTCAGCTGTTGACAGAGATGGCTGTAAACCGAAGCTGTGATGGGCAAAGCATTTTTTTGTTTTGATACAAAAACAAGAATATTCGTATCAAGGTCATCTAATACATTGCATTAAATAGGGTTAACAATCTGTTGAATAAAAACGGCAATGACGTGGCGATATTCTGAATTTCCCATTTGAGATTGTTGTTTTTCCCACAACAGCAATCTCGATTTCGAATTTACATGTGTGCCAATTACCAAAAAACTTGTTTTTAATTAGCTGCAAATAACAACCTGATAATCCCAATGGAGTATCTCCTCCTGCTTATAAAATGTAGGCTCATATGAATGCATTACCTTAGTATCATAGATGTGCTTTCTTTCAGGACACAGACACCGAGATGGGCTCTTCAGCATTACAAGTAATTTATAAAATTGAATCCATTTACTACCCAACTCTTGCAGCGCTTGGTGTTCCCGGTAAGTTGCTCAAACCGCACTATCTGTGCCACTCAGCATTTACTCTGTGCTCTCACTGCAAACTCCTATCATGTTACCTCATTACCTTACTTATCTCGCTCCATTTACTAATGAGAATTATTGCAAAGCGTGAGACCTCTCAAAGCCCTTTACATAATTTTACTGTGAAATATAATGACTGTGTATTTGTAGGCGATCGCAGCAGCCTGTCATTTTCACCGAGCCTTATGGAAATTTTCCTAACCCTAAGGGCAATATCTATTGGGTAAACATCAAAAGCAGATGAGCTCAGATGGTTGCACTCCTGCCGAGTCAGTTTGCCTCAAATTAGTCAGAGGGTTGTGGGCCCAAATTTGCCGCTTTATTCTCGCCTCAACCAAACCGTGTTCTTATCCCAGTTTCATCGTAGAGTCCAAGGACAACCCCAGGTTCCTCGACTCCACCACAAATCAACTCCTACACCCAATTGCCATGTACCGCACATTATCTGCTCCATTTCAAAATGTGATAAGGTGATAGAATTTCTCGATGTGATAGAATCTCCACCTTTGTTACTGCCCAACACCACCACCACCCCCCACCCATC